GGGCCCGCGGGGCGGGTGTCTGCGCCCGGCCGGCGAACTTCGTTCCCCGGTTACGGCTTCCATCAGGCTTTCGGGGCGGCCGGTTCCCTGCCTTCCTCCGACAGCCCCCGGAGGCACCGGGGAGTTGGGGACGGAGAGGCTCTTCCCTCTCCGGCGGCTGCCTCCAGAGCCCCTTTCAGGGGCGGGATGCGATTAAGACTTCACTGTACTTGGTTTTTCTTTGTCTGGCAATAATTGTCCCTTAGTTGAGATTTCGTATTGGAAACTGACCTCTGCGACCCACACATCACCCTGTGGCAGTTCCAGACGGGAAGAGAATCCCTTTGGATGCACCAGAAAGTAGTTTATGGAATTCTGATTTAAATGAACAGTGCAGCAGTAAACTTGGGTTCGACAAAAAAAAAAAAATTCTGTGCAATTGCTGGGATTTGAAGGATATTTTTAATGCCCCACGACATACACGGTGTGGTTCTGGGGTTGGTGCTGTCACTCGCTTGCGACGGTGATAGTGTTTGAGAAAGCGTTGGAGTTTTTAGTGGTGTCTCAAATCCTTAATAGCGCGGGGTCCTTTGAGCCTTAGCCCTGTTCACAAAGCTGCGTGTTCAATAAATACCATACTGCAAATAGGTCAAGTGGCAAACTTCAGTGCCCAAGATAGGGGAAGAAAATTCTCTTGCCCACGCCTCAGTCTGTCAGACAAGGGGAGCGATGGAGCTGTGCAGGTATTGATCAGGAGCAAGTTACGGTGTAAATGTATCAGCTCGTTAACTCTGTAGTGTGAATATTCTGGGGAAAACGCAGTAAGGTAATACTGGATTAAAAAAAAAAAAATCCTAACATGCGTAGTGTTGAATCACATTCTTCCTGAACGTTTTTGTCCCTTTTCAAGGTCATATGCTAGAAAAAGATAAAGATTTATTTTAAGCTTTTGCTGAGTAATATGGAGTTGTGAAACATATGTCTGTCTGCAGGTTGAAAAGTGTGGTTCAGAATTATTCGACTTGGGAAGCCTAAGGTTGAAGCAGCAGTATGCTGTCTTTAAATTACATCCTTGTGAAAGTAATTTAGTGTTTTCATACCTTTCTAAATTATAATTATGTTACTTTTTGGGAGACAAAAAAACACGGGATGTTTCTTTAAAAAGTTGTGACTACGCTGTATTTTCACTTTCTAGCAAAGTGCATGTTTCTCAATTTCTTTTCCATCATTTAATTTGACAAATACAGATTTTATTATGATAATTTGCATTAAGCAGAATTTTACTGGTTTTCATCAGCCTTCTAAAAGGAAATAGTGGGATCATCTTAAGATTTCCTTCTCTAATAGTAATACCTCTCTCTAATAGTAGATTCTTCGGGGTCTTACATTTTAAGTGTAGAAATAAGGCTGAATCATATCTTTAAACAAAGAATAAAGGATATAAAATGATGTTCTTTTTCACTTCTAATCACAGAATTCCTTAAATTACAATAAGGTTTTCAGCTATTTGCAATAAATGTTTTTCAGTGGTATGAAAATGAAAGGTTTATATTTCTTAAAAAATAAATAGTTGGTTGTTTTCTTTAGTGTTAGCAGCCTTAGCGTGGGCATCAAGGTATTCTCCGTTCTCTATTTCTTTCCACTTAATGGAAGTAATTTCAAGTAATTTCCAAGTTTCTTGCTGACGTTACCTAATGAAGCTGACTTTTATTTCAGTTTAAAAAGGGTGTATTTCAGTTTAGATTGGGATTGTTGCTAGATATAACCCCGACAAAACCCTTTTTTGTCCTGATTTAACTGTATTAGTTAAAGCTACATAGAAGTTCCTCTTTTCTATAGGCTGGTCTTGACCTTTTCAACTAGGGTTAGTATACCTGTTTCAAATGATGCTGCCTTTTCGTGTCAGTAATGCACATGGCTGTGTAGTCCTCCCTCAGTTTGCACTTTGAAACAGTATTTGCTTTACCAGAATCAACATTTTTTTAATCCTGTGAATGGAAAAGGTTTAGGAAATGAATTTCCAAGCTTAGAATGATCCATAATAATGCATCACACTCAACTGACGGTCCCTCTTTTTCTGGTACCTTGTGCAAGTGACCTTGGTACTTTCCAGAAGGAAAAATCAGCTACCAAACTGTCTGACTATGTAAATTTTGTATACGATTTTTGGTATCGTATTGGGTGTGTTCATTAACATAATGAAGAAAACTTACCTATTTGATAATAGGTTGTAATATGTTGAGAGATTTTTTTTTCTACCCTTAAATGAAAGAAAGCCTGCAAGAAACATACTTTGTGGAAAGCAGAGCAGTCCTAGTTGATTTGTGTCTGCTGGTTTATGCTTAAACAAGTAGTTGCTTTGTGTTACACAGTAGCTGGAGTAGCCTTTGATGGAATTATTTGGACACTGTCATGCTTTGCTTAAATGACGACTTTTGTGGTATTTGTCTAAAAAAAAAATCAACATCCTAAATTAGATACTTTTTATCACCATAAGGCTGTCTTTCTGGAGTTATAAGGTTTGTTGGATAACATGTGTTTCTTTTTCTTAGAACCAACACAGATATACAGATTTCTACGTACCCGGAATCTAATAGCAGTGAGTAATTGGTCTTTATCACTCATTTACTTTGGACTTGTAGGAAATTTTAATAAAAGGATAACCTTTTTTGTTTCTTTTTTTTTTGCAGCCGATATTTTTGCACAGAACTCTCACATACATGTCCCACAGAAACTCCCGAACAAATATGAAAAGGTAAAATTGTTCTTTGAAAAGTAATCCTAAAAAGTTAACAAAGTAGCCGAAGTTCAAAAAAATAGTGGAGGGTGACCTTTTCTTTTCGTGTGGTGTGTAAAACATGACCTTTTCTTTTTGAAGAACTTAAAAATCACATGCATCCCTTTACGGTTGATTTCTGAGACCTAAGAACTTTTTCTGCAGCGTAAAGTGTGTGTGACTACGCTTGTGGCTTCTGTTGATTTGGGAGTACTCAAATGTGGGTAACCATCTGCAGAATCCTGACTAATTCTCCCGTGTTTGTTTTCTGTTTGGGAGATGTTATACAAAACTGTGTAACATCTGAGCTCTTGTAATCAATGATGTTTGATCATAGTCATATGAAACATTTTATTGAAACTGTGACCTAACGGCTTATTTAAAGAAACACACACAAAACTATGTATTTTGTTAGTCTTGGAAGGATCCAGTAGTTATCTCTATAACTATTTTAAAACCTGAAAAATTAAGGTCAATTTATAGCATTTTTCAACCTTTAAAAAGGTTGCTTTGAACTGTATATGTCTGAGAAATCGGCTTCAGTTTTGACATTGCATAAGTCATTCTCATCATGTGAGGTGCTACAGCTCATGTCAGTAGACTTCAAAATATATAAATACTGCAGTGAATACAGAGTGAAAAGTGCAGTGTACATTATTTATTAGCACAATCACTAAGTCCTTTCAGTTATTTCCCCCTCACTGAAAATTGTTTGTTACACTTTGTATTTTTCTGTAGCCTGAACATTTATATTAAAGTATTTTAACACTGAAATTCTTACTGCTTTGAAACAGTTGCTGTGGGACTGAAATTCACGAACACTTAATGAATAACAATAAAATCTGATCATGCAGACCATTCTGATTTAAGCTGTGTTTGTATCCAAGAAAGGTAGTATTTGAGTGATCTGTTGAGCAGTAGAATTTGCACATTTTAATTTAAATTAAAGAAGCTATATTTGGCATTCTGATCTCTTGGATATTGTTTAATGTACTTGCCATTAGCTTTAATGCTAAAATATCACTTTTTCTTAAAACTGAATCCATAACGTACAATTTCAGCTACTTAAATAATGATCAGATTTATTTTTTTTTTAAACTTGAAGTTGCTGCTTACTTTTTCTTACAAAAGTTACCAAAGTGAGTTGTTTGCTATTTTAGAAGAGGGTAGAGCCAAATTTTGAGAAGGGTGTTTTGTGATTTCTTTCTTGTTTTTTTTTTTTTAGTTTTAATTGGTTGTTTTTTTAACTAGAATTGTGCAACAGGAAGTTCTTGCTTATAACTTATATTAAGTTAGAGTTGATTGAAATGCGTATGTTCTTTTACCTGATTTAGTTTCTTTGGATGTCTGCTCTAGTTGCTGGGAAACAGAAATGGCACTTTGCATGTACATTGTGTTGTCCACTGTTCCAAATTCCAGTTAAAATTCAGCCACACAAGTGATGCTTAGTTTTCCTTTGAAACATACTGATTTTTACTAGTTCCCTTAACGCTTTGTTTGAGAACTCTGATTTCAGTTAGGTAGTGTTCTAAAAACAGATTAATAGGCTTTTCACTCACTAGTTTTCTGACAATACTGACTTATTTAAATCATTCTGGTAATTAGGTCTAAGGAAGATTAAGTAAAACAGACAATATGTTTTCTTTTTAAAAGGACAATCATGCAACACAAGTGAACTAACATTGTTGAGGGGAAAAAACAGAAAATAATTGCGAAGAAGCGTGTTCTTGTCCCCTGAGTCCCCCCTCATTTTTCCATGCTCTGTCAGTACTGTGGTCCTTCTCTTTCGGCCTAATTAAGACCACAAAAGGTGTAGTTTCAGGGTAGTTTTGATTCTTAGATCTAGTGGTAAAACTGAGAGACTGTGGCAAAGCAGTCTCAGCTGAAGGTCCAGAGAAGGTTAGCAGGGTAGTCCTTTGCTGATAGTTGTTTTGCTGGTAAACACTTTGAAATGTGCACGAGACCTTAATTGCTATTCTTCATTCAGTAGAAATAGTTAAGGTATATGATCCTGTTATTCTGGTGAAAAGAGGGTTTTAAAAGAGGAAAAATATTCAAACTAGAGTAGAGGATCTTCCTGAGGCTTATATTAGGAAAAATGTACCTAGTTTCAGTATAGTAAAAATGTTAATAGAGTTCTCTATGCAAAGAAGTGTTTTTTGGAACTGTGTCATTGTTGGCCTGCTTATGTGAACTGTGATGATACATGTACATTTATTTATTTATTCCCCTAGAATTTAATAATTCTGCCAATCATTGTTGTGATTGCCATTTCAGTAAACAGTGTCATATGTGAAATATAAAGAAGTTCTTTCCAGACTGTATAGAACTTACTTCTCACAATAGTAGTTATAGCTCCACATCTCTTATCTCTAGCTCTACAGTAGTCTGAGAAAAATGCCAGACAAATTTATCACTTGGAGGTGATAAAGGAGGGAAGTAATTTCTTGGTAAAAATACAGTTTTATCCATTGCTGTTGGTCCATATGTTTAATGCAGAGGTAGAGTTTATAAAGATCAGAATGTTTAGAGTATAGGGAAATGTTGATAGGGAATAAATCAAGTGGCATATGTCAGCTTGGGCTAAAGTGTTGAAGTTGCTGCTTATTGTTGGAGAGATAATATGCTTGGGTCAAGTGATACTTGGTAGAGAACTGAAATGGGCTTTCTGCCTGTGGGACCATCCTCAGGTGTCACTGTATTATTAGAGCAAGTAATGGTGTTGCAAAGAAGCTACTGTTACTAAAAGCTGTTTCCCATATAGTATTTGGATAAAGGAATTATTTTTTTTTTTTATTTATTAGCAGAGTAATGGCATGCTATGATGTGACTTTTAATACTTTGCTAATTATGACTGTGCTTAGCTGGAGTAGGAGTGGGTGGAGAAAGGAATGCGCAAGATGCGCATACTTGTAGTACAAGTAAATGTTCTCTTGAAAATCCTGGGTGTTGGGGATGGTTATTACAGAAACTTAATTGAACATGGTAACATAAAAATAGTAATTAATTTTAAAGGAATTTCTGGGGTTTTAGGGGTTTTTAAAATGTTCTTGTAAGTTAACTTCAAGGCAACAGTTTTGATTTAATGGATTTTCTGGTTGCTATTTTTAATTTTTCTGAAAGATTTTTAGGAAAGGTTGTGTCATGGATCTTTCTGGATCGGTAATGCTTACAGACATTAAATGCAAGCTGTGTCAGATATTAGTATATTTTATGAAAGATTGTTAAACTTTCCCCCATTCCTGAAACATGTTTATCTCTTAGCTGGTTTCTGGCTCGTATTCCCATCATGACATGGCTTTGCTCTAAAACTGTTCTAAGCAATTCTGTAGCCTGAAGAAAACCTTCTGAAGAGAAGCGTACGACTTACAACATGTTCTGCAGAGCAGCACCCAATTTTGAGCTTGGGCAAAGTGCACGCAGAGACTTTTTTTATCTTAGAATCTGAAACTTTCAGCAAATTCCTCTGTTCTTAACATCTCTTGCTTTAAAGCTGAGCATTGCAATGTTCATTTTAATAATCCCATGTTTTAGTGTAGGTGAGCCAGTTCTTGAATCTGTCATCTGCCTCTACCTTAAGCTTTAGGTAGAGTAGAGCTTTGAATCAGTTGGTGATTATTTACTACAGAAATCATAATTACTTTTCTCCTTGTTATCTGGCTGCAGCCCTGTACTTGTGTAGTGTCTCTTGCCCGCTGTTGCTGTTTAGTCACCATGTGGTTTGTAACTAAAGCACTGGGATGAATTACATGCTGAATGTAGGCAATGTGTGCCATCAGTGTTTCTTCAGTCAGGATATTTCTATAGATGATGCTTCCACTTTCCCAGACCATGTTGTTGCTGTTCCTCCCTGCAAGAAATCCAACGTTTGGCTACAGCTTATGTTCTTACTTCATTTTTCTAAGGTATAAATGTAAAATAAGGGTGTTCTCACAGCTTTTGTGTTGTCCGTCTGGTCTAGTGCAATTTTGTTGGCATTTAGGTCCAAGCATTAATTTTCCTGTAATGAAAAATTGAAAGACTCTTCTGGAAACTGCTGAATAACTTCTGTTTATGAGTGAACTTTATTTAGCAATGAACATTGAATTATATATTCATCCTGTTTTATCATATATACAAGCATGGACAGACTGGTGTCAGAATTATGGAGAGAAATTGATTATTCTCCATGACATCGTTGTCATTGATGGTTGTCGTCCTCCCCGTTTCTCCCCCCTGAGAGTGTGCTGCAGTAGTAACTGCAGAATTCATTGTTCTTTGTATTGTGTCCATTTCATTTAACTTTGTGGAGTAAAAAAAGGAATTTTTATAATTGGGTTTTTACTGCGTTGTCAGATAAGGTTTTAAGTATTTTTCATTACTGTGATCAAGATTAAAGTAGTAATGCCTGCAGAGCTGACACATAAAGTCCTAGTGGATGTGTCACTAAAGAGAGATTTTCTTTGTCCAACGCTGAAATGTGGGTTGAATATGGTGCTGTTAAATAATCTTACTGCTCCTGAGAAGTGTTACTTCTGAAAGGTCCAGTTCTAATGCTTTGTATTATTTTGATACTGCTCAAGAAGCTGTATTACACTTGTGTCCCTACAACACGTATGTGCTACTGGGCCCCAAAAGGCATCAGGAGGGTGCTTTCTGAACACATGGCTAAAATTGCATATATAGACAGTTTTAGATTGAAAACCAACTCAAAGTTTAGACTGATACATTTTGTCGTTATACGTTATGGGAATAGTGTCTATGTGAAACTATTCTTTCTGCTTTTTTCTTGACAGGAAAACATTCAAAGTAGATGAGATGTTATCAAAAGTAGAGAAAATGAAGGGAGAACAAGAATCTCACAGGTACAGTCCTGCATATATATTTTGTGTGTGTCTACAAATGAGCACATGCATGTGCTGAATCAAAAGTCTTTTTGATTGATAAAATGGAAGTGATTAAGAGTGATTATTAGAAGCAAGGTACTTACCGTTTGAAATGTTGCTTCCAAATTTCTAAAATGTGTGTATGTGTGCTGGTCACTTCAAAGCTTGGAGAAAAGCAGTATCAGGATAAACTTTCAATATTTGTCATGCTGTTTCTTGAAATGTGTATAGAAGCCTCATAAAGTTATTTGATTTTTTTTTCCCAACTGTCAGTTGTGTCAGTAACTAAACTGTATGTGCTGGAATAAAAAAAAGAGACAGATTTGGGAAAATACCATGAAGTTATGTACTATTTGGGGTTTTTTATGGTTGAGTACTTGCTGGTTTTAATCTTATGTTCATAGTTATGTAAAAAAAACAAACAACAAAACAAAACACAAAACCAAACCCCAAACAACAAAAACAAAACACAAACTCAAACCACCAAAACAAGAAACCCTGAAACTTTCAACAGTATTTAAAATATCTTACTAATCTCAAGCCATAACAGAGTAACATATTATAAAATGTTTTCATTAAAGGCTGTAAAACTTAAAATTTTCCCCTCTAATTTTTTTCATGAGAAATATTGCTTGGTCTGAGGTTTTTCCTGTGGTCTGACCCCACATATATCTCATGTCAAACCTTTGTATTGTTCTGTCTGAGTGTGTTTCCCTCTTTAACAAATAGATAATTTCAAGTCTTAATTCCATATGGACTTGTCACTGAGGGGGGAAGTCTTATTCTGTGAATTCTAATGGTGCAATAGTAATTACCTTTATACTGGTGTACCTATTGCTTTCAACATGTTAAATTTTTTTCCCCAAGCATTTACTTTAAATTATATAACACCCTTAAATGTTGGGTAAAACTTGTATTTTATTAGATCTCACTTTCTGCTTCAGAAAAAAATACTGAACTCTAGCTGTATTTCACATAATCTACTTGGTAAAAGTCAAAGTTCAGCAGAGATGTGAAACTTGAGACTGATGTGTTTCGGTTGGTTTTCACCCCAGCCTGTCTTTGGAATCATGGCAGAAAGAAGGCAGAGCAAATACACCTGCTCTGTTTCTTGACAAGTTTCCTAGTGCTGAAATAAAATGATATAAAAAAACTTATTCATTGAGTAGTGATAGAACATGCAATGTGTTTGTGCTATTTGAGTGCGATAGATTATGACCATAACTCTTTTAAATTGTATTCTTTATGTATGAATTAAACACCTTTCAGAGGCGGCCATGCTAGATATAATTTAGTCCGAAACAAATATATAAATTTTGTGTTCTAAGAGGTTTTATAGATTTACTGTCTATTATTTTTCTTAATTATCTTTTGCTGCATATATTGTGCCTATTGATAGGTAAATATTCTCTTTTTAAGGATAAGGATCACGTTAAAATAGTCAAAACACTGATTTGTGTGTGGTTTTTGTGCTTTCAAAACTATCAAAAAACGTCCTTTAGTCTGGAAGAGTAACATGGACGAATGATGCAAGTTGGTATAGATGCAGTCTTCTGAATGCTCAAGCTCTTGGACACTTTCACTAATCTTCTCAGACTCTGGGAGGTGTTTGTGTTTAAAAATAGGTGTTGAATGTCAGGTTGTGTCTTTCTGAGGAGCCAGTGAAGGTGTTTAAAATCATATCTGGTGTTCTAGTGTAACAGATGATATTTTGTTCAATACTGTGTACTTCAGAAATACTAAGTGTTTTTGAGACCCATTTTAATGCAGGTTTATGAATACTCACTTTAAGCTGAAATGTATTTGGAATATAACAATTGGAAGTAAAATGGTTCTACAGTCAGCAGAATATTTTGGGTTATGAGCTGCAGTGCCATGAAACAAAATAGATGCAATTGTTATTTTGATGGCATGTGTTATGGACGATGTGGACTTGATGTGACTGATAATCTTGATTTCTAGGGCTGTAGCTTCTCTATTGTAAATTGAATTGCTATCCCTATAGGTATTTAAAAGACACGTAGACCTTGGGCTTAGGGGCATGGTTTGGTGGTGGACCAAGTGCATGGTTCAAGGTGAAGCTCTAGAAAAACAGTAAAACTCATCTCTGCTGATAAATGTCTAGGAAATGTGTTTGCCTGCCTGAGAAGGCAAGATATCATGTCTTCAGACAATGCCCTTCTCCTGTAGCATTTAAACCTCTATTCTCTACTTATATATATATATGTATATCAATGCATATAATACATAGAGAGAATAAGTATGTAAAGATAAAACTGGTCTGCAACTTCGCATCAATTGTGATTACTGCACCCGGGCAGTTTCCAGGTCAGAAGGATGGACCTCTGCAGTGTAGTTCTGCCTCTTGTTGGCCTGTCCTGAGCATCAGTGAATGGAGTGGAGTAGCTTTTGGGACAAGCAAACACTTTACTTGTTCTAACATTTCCTTTCTTTTTTTCTGTTTAGTTTGTCTGCTCATTTGCAACTTACATTTACTGGGTTCTTCCATAAAAATGGTACGTTTTGCTTATTTATTCATTATACTGCTAATTTGTATGGCACCTTTGAAATTAGTATAGATCTGTGTGGAGAATAGTTGAATGTTTTCGTTCTGAGTTCTTCCATGAAATGGTTTGTTTGCTAATTTATACATTATACTGCTAATTTTTATATAACCTTTGAAATTAGCATGGATCTGTGAGACTATTGGAGTATTTTGAATCTCTGCTGTTTGGATGCAGGTTTTAACTTATTTAGTCACATTAGTTACAGTACTTACAGTAGCATTTTAAATATGTTGTAGTGTAATTGTCATGTTAAGCAAATACACCTTCTGGGGTTTTAGTCAAAACAGTGTTTTTAAGAAATACTTGAAGTCCTGATCCATTCAAACTGAAATAGACCTTGAGGAGTCCTGAAGAAACTGATCTTACGGAAGTGTGTCTTTGGGATATTTGAAGTAGCTTTTAAAAAAGCCCTCTGCCTTCAAATAGTTAGAAGATTCAGTGTTTTTTAAATTAAAATAGAGGTGTGAGAATGAATTTTATCAAATAGAAGCCAGAAATGAGGCAAAGGTCATGTCATTGATTTATAAAAGCAGACCAGACCAGAATGAAGGGTTCTATTCCTTTAACGAAAGCAGAATTGATGTGCTTTGTGCTGGGTATGGGTAAATTCACTCACTGTCTTTTTACTTCCCTGAAAATAAATTGTCTGTTTATCCGTGAAAATAAAGTGGTGTTCCTAATCTTGTGGTTAAAAATATTCTGAATGGCATCTTAGTCTTTGAATGTAAAAGCTAATAGAATTCATGGAACAGGTTTTGTACTTTTTTTCTGGAAGTTATGTTCCTTCAAGGTATCTTGTGCTTGAGCAGATCTGTTTGGTAAGGTGTTTGAAAATTAAAGTTCCAGATATCTAATTTTTAGAAGCCCTTCTGTATTGAACTGTAATATTACTCTGAGAAAGTTATTCAAATCTGTAGATTGGGACATTCTGCTTCTGGAATTTCCAAATACTGCTGGTGTCAGCGGTATTCATTCACTTGTTTCCCCTCTCAGGAACTTCAGGTTATGTGTTGTGTTCAGTATTTGAGGTGAGAAACCCCAAGAGACAAGAACTTCTAGGGTAGCTAGTGGTAAAAATAGAGAAATATAGAATAAAGGTGGAGGATATTTGAAGACTTTTCTGTGGCTTTGAATGCTTGGATTATGTCACTCTACCATTGACTACAAAACCCTTTCTCTTCTAGAAGGGTACTCCATGTAGTGAGAGCCTGGCAGTCATTTGTACCATAGAAAAGAATATCATTACCATAAGTAATGTATGCCATAGTGAATATTAAATATAGAAAATATTTAAAGTAATGAAGCTGGCATAATTAATATGCTTATTTGTCTGGATAGAAATTGTTAGAAACTCTTGAAACAGAGTGTGGTAGAGTTTTGGTTAGGTTTCCCCCTGCCCTGAGCTTCTGTATTTGCTAAGAAGATTTCTAATATGTCTCGTGTTTACAATAAAAAAAATAAAAATCTATTTGATAAAACTGCCAGATTCTCTACATGAGTTACCAGAACTCTTTCTACTGAAACACATCAAGCTTATTGAGTGTGGATCTAGTATCAGGAGGAAAGCAAGTGAAGAGACTCAGGTTATGTCTTTAATATGCTAAAGGTTTGCTTTTTATATCTGATGGGCATAACAAAGTATTTTGTTGAATGTCAGATTCTTGTGACATGGACTAAGGCAAAGCCATTGTGCTTTTTAGCTTAAGCCCATAATGATATTTGTAAGATTTTTTTAAAGGGTGGAAATAACTCCTTACAGATTCATTCAGTTTTGGCTGATGATTGTTTTTTCAGATTTTTTTCCAGAAACTATTTTTTAACTACATAATCAAGTTTTATCTTGTTATTCTTTTTCCGTATGAGGACAGAATTCTTGATTAATATAAATCTAAACTATTAAAGGTTTTCCTGCGATACAGTGAAATTTATTTTGTAAGGCAGTTCCTAATTGACATTGTTGATCATGCTGCTGGTATTGGCTGTCTTGAGGATTCCAGGCTCTAGGAAATTGATAGTGCAGAGACTGTGAAGCCAGGTCTTCTTTTCCTATTCTTTTAAGAGTCCTTTAACAGCTATTCTGCATATACTTACCTTACATAATATTTAAGGTTTCTTTTTTTATTTTCCTCTCTGATAGCATCTGGATCTTAAGTTTTGATGCAAACCAAATTCTAGGTTTGCAAGCTGTAAAGAAAAAAAAAATTATAGGAAATAATTTGATTCGTCTGTAATTATTTTTTTCTGACTTTCCTTAAATCTACCTGTATCCTTTTTTGCTGCTATGCAAAGGTTTTGGCAATGTCAAAGGTAGCAAGTCTTTTAAACATTGGAGATTGACTATGCTTTTTATTCTGCTAGAATTAGAACAGTGAGATAGGATACGTTCTCGAGTGGGAATTTGCAGTAAGTTTGTGGAGAATTGAAACTTAGGATTTGACTAGAGGTCCCTATGTTAAAAAAGTAATTACAGGTGGATTTGCACAGTTGAATAGATCTTCATTTTTTCAGAACTTAAAATATTTTTCTATTTAGATAAGCCATCACAAAACTCAGAGAATGAACAAAATTCTGTAACCCTGGAAGTACTGCTTGTGAAAGTTTGCCACAAGAAAAGAAAGGTAAAAATGATTTGACAAAGTATTAATATATAGTAAAGCAAAATGTCTACGGGATTCTGGAACGTCTATTTAACGTTGCCATAGAACAAGGTAATGGTGAAATGATGCTTCTTTTGAGATAAATTGAAGAACTAATCTATTCAAGCTGTTGCCTATTGACTGGGTAAGAGGTTCTTCAGAAGCAAATGTATATCTATGGATTTTGCTTTGCTTTGTGAGAAATAACTAGAAGTTCTAAAAAAACCATTGAGCTTGTTCATTGAATTTAGCTCGCTTGTAAGTCAGATTCACTCATTGTGGATTTCAGCCATCTCTATTTTTGCTTCAGTTTTTTTCTATCACATCATCAAACTATTAATTCTGTTGTGATGTTCAGAGGCTTAAGTAAACCAGGCAATCGCAAAGTCATTAAATAGTCTGCCTTTTAGAGTTTAGAAAGAAAAAGGAACGAGTTGCAATTGTTTTGAATTCCCCAGTCATCTGCCAAGTCTTGTTCTTCCTTGCTTTTTCTGTACCTATGTTTTTTTACATTGACCATCTCAATTATTGCAGATTTTAGATACTGTGAATCATAAACAATTTTCAAACCTTTTTTTTTTTTTCCCCAAAGCATCTCTGAATTTGCTTGCTGGTTTAGCTACGTTTGTTTCACACCAGTTGGCAAATTATCTTCACAGCTATGGGAATATGGGAGGCTTAGTAATGCATGCTGTAATTTTTAACCAAAAAGGGAAAGATTTGCAGTCAGAACTCCCTAAGAATGTTAAGCTGTTTTGACATGTTATTAAGAGTTAATATTGTTCCTAGCCAATTTTTTTACTTGCTATGGTATAGATAAATATGGTAAAAGCAGGAGGTGCTGATGGTTACTTGAAATGTTTTGCTGCAAGTTTCATACTTAGGCCATCCTGCCTTGTTTTTCCAATACCAGACAGTGCTCAATGATCTATTTGAGAGATACTGAATATAATAAATCCTAGGTAAGTGGTTCTTTATCTCCCAGATAGCTCAAAGTGCACTTTGTAATATTGGCAGGAGAAGATAGGAAGCCCTTGAAATATATATATAACCAAAACATCTAATTTCTTTAGGTAAACAGAATTAAATTAGTATTAATGACTGTTCTACAATCTTTCTGAATGCTTCATGTTAGTGTTAATTTAATCACTTAGAGAAAGATGGCTGCTGCCAGGAATGGTTATGAAATGCCAGTTTTATTTACACTTTCAAATATCTGTTTTACATTTAAAACCTGGGATTGTTATTCCAGATTTTTTTATTTACATCTGTTAGAAGGCTTATTTTCAAAAAGATGGCAGGACAAGTACAGTTCATAAGTGATACAAATTTTAAGACTTAATGGCTTTACTCTGTGTTCTGAAAACCTAAACCTTAGCTTTCTTGTTTTCCTGCAGGATGTTAGTTGTCCGATAAGACAGGTTCCTACAGGTAAAAAGCAGGTGCCTTTAAACCCAGACCTCAGCCAAATAAAACCAGGCAACTTCCCATCACTTGCGGTTTCCAGCAATGAGTTTGAACCAAGCAACAGCCATATGGTGAAGTCTTACTCATTGTTATTCAGAGTAACTCGCCCAGGAAGAAGAGAGTTTAATGGCCTGATCAATGGCGAGACTAATGAAAACATTGGTAAGTTCAGTCTTTAAATATGCTTTTGCAGAATTTATCTTGTAGGCACGTATAGTTGTCTTAATGCCCAGCATAGGTCATGCTCTGAGAAGGGTCAGTCATAGATGAGTGACAACTGGCTTTCATTTGTTTTCAGTCTTTTTCAAGATGGGGCTAAAACACAGTTGGTAACTAGAAACTGTCATTATATTTCTGTGTAAATTTACCATCAGTTTTCAGTAATGTGTGATGGTGAAGGAGAGGCAACACTGTGGGGAGGAGAATAGTGTAAGAGAGCCCTGTGGTCGCTGTGACTATCATTAAACCTCCAGGAACGCTGGTCGCTACTGACTCAGCTGTTGGTTCTTATCATGGTCTCTCATAAAAACTAAATGACTAGCTGATTAAAAATCAATATCTATACCGTAATAACAAAATTTTAAAAGCTATTTTCTTAATTTTGTCAAGATGTGTTATATTACATCACAAATGTTACCGCTTTGAAGAGTGCATGTAGAATGAAAAACTTTCTTTCTCACTATTTTATAGCTACAAGAGGAGGAAGGTCAAACCCAAACTCTTTATGCTGACAGAGTAATACGACTAAACTATAAATATATGTGAACGTATCTAAAGTGTGATTACTGTTAAGCTAAGTACTCTTTCCATTGCCATCGAGCTGTTCACTAAACAGTGTGTCCTTTGCTATTGTATGACACATCTGACGTAATCAACAGCCAGTTGTATTTTACAATTGCATGGAAGCTGTTCCATCTTTTGAATTTGTGCGTATGTAATAACTGAATACCATATTTCTTATGTACAGATGTCAATGAGGAGCTTCCAGCTAGAAGAAAAAGAAACTCTTCAAATCGTGAAGATGGGGAAAAGACATTTGTAGCACAAATGACTGTATTTGATAAAAACAGGTAATACTATCCAAAATAAATATTGTTTCTGTTAATTCTTAGGAATTTGTTTACTATTGAAGTTAAATCTGCTCTATATTTTCAGTGTTGGTTGTCTTTGGCTGCATTTTTAGTTAGTAATTCGATAAGAGCTTAGGCTGGATTCCTTTTTTTAAAAAAAAAAAAGTTTACGGGTTTCATAACACACACTTCATCCTCTGACGATTGGAAATGATTCTCTTTCACAAACTTGCGTATTGTCCTGTAACTACGCATCAGTTTGTTCCTTGTCAGTTTTCTGACAGATGTAATTTCTGTGGGTCTATTAAAGATGGATGACAGTGTAATTGAAAAGTAAATCAAGCAAACAAAAAGACTCTGAAATATACTTACTGCTTATGTTCTGTTTGGTGCCATAATTTTCTCCATGCTCAGGCTCTTGCTGATGGAGTCGCAGATCTTCTTGTGCTGGCACCTAAAGAAGACACTAGTTCTCTATGACAGTGAAATCAAACTTGGTTACTGTGGAATACATTCTATGTTTTAATAGGCAAGCAATAAAAATGAGCTGCTTTACTCATAACACATACTTTGTCTTGACAGGCGCCTGCAGCTTCTGGATGGAGAATATGAAGTGGCCATGCAGGAAATGGAAGAGTGTCCCATTAGCAAGAAAAGAGCAACATGGGAAACAATACTTGATGGGAAGGTACGGGTTGTTTTAGTTGCTGAAAGAACCTGTCTTCACTTAAAATGGTCTGGATTAAAGTAGAACACAAGTTTAAGTGAAGTCAGTTGGCTGTTCCTCTAAAAATTTGTTTATTTGAAAAGGAAATGGTACTTCCAGGATGTATAGACGTAAGTTTTAATTTAACTCTCGGTTTAGGAAGGCTTTGGTTATGCTAGATTGTTAACACAGGCAGATGTTAACTACTGTAACTCTGGCAGCTGTCTCTTCCTGTGACTTCTGAATTTCTGTGTTAGAAAATCAGGCAAATTTTTTTTGTTGTAATAAATTCAAGTTGGACAAATCAAAAGGAACAAACTGCAGAAGCAATATATTTTGGGGAAAGAAAGAGGAACTCGGAGCTTTCACAGGTGTGATCTTACACACATACCTTTAGAGAATGCTGGTGAAATTTAGTGTCGAAAGGAAGAGGGTGTGTCAGTGTAAGAGAAAGTGTTGTGTAGAGAGAAATTACTGACTGAGGTGAATCCACACCGGGTGATTCAGTGAATGCACTTACAGAGTCACATGCTCCTGTGTCAGTATCAGTTCTAAGTGACTGAGGAGAAGAATATGAAAATTCTAGATGGTTGCAAAGTAGCTGTGCATCAACATGATTATATAATTATGAAAAAAGCCAGAGGTGATCCAAAGTATATAGTAAAAATATAGTTAAGTGTTATTACCCAGTTCAGCATCTACCTGGTTCAGAATCTATTCTGATTCTATTTACCTGTGTTCAGAAGTTAAAATTGAAGAAGCTAGAAACTTCTTTTAGGAAGATCGTAGGAAGAGATTCTCCACGTGTAAATGTGCTTAAAAAGATATATATATATATATATATATATAGATTGCTGTAGCTTTGTTAGACCGAGGCGGGGATACTCTTCTTGGGAGAATGAGAGAGGTTTTCCACACTGGAGGTGCTCCCCCAAAATAGTCATGGCCAATGTGTTTAGTGCTCAGATCTGATAAGCACGTTGTCATCGGTTTTCTGGTTTTGCAATAGCATTTCTGTAAAATAACAACACTTTTATTAAAGAGTTTTTAAGATGGAGTTCTGTAATCTCGTTGATAAATTTAGGGTATGATACTTGATAGGAAAAGTTTGGAGTTGACTCAGCTCTCTTCTGTTTCTTTAATGCTATTAATTTGATAAATGAGGGGAATATAAGAACGTATCCCCAGGAGAATATTACAATAGCCTTTCTACAGCAGACAGTGGTAGGCTTTTTACAGCTTGTGTATGGGGTATTAATATACAATACTGGACTGCAGAATTGGGAGTAGGTGTGAGTAGAAAGACATACAGTGACAGCAGGCTCGTGGGTAAGTGCTGTTTTCTTTCTTGTCAGTCCCATGCTGTTTGCTGTTTAATGTTTCACAAAGATCAAGTTGTGTGCCACAGCATGTGTGTGAAGTGGTTGCTCAGTAAGGTGCCGGAAACTGCATAGTAATCTTTTTTTTTTAGCTTTTTTTTTTTTCCTTTTCAGTCTATCTAAATGTGTATGCTTATGTTGAAAACGCAAGGACTTCAGGTGATTAAAAAATTACATCTGTGCCCATTTTGTGAATGTTTTTGTCCATGGGAAAACACTCATTCTGCTGTATCACTTTTTATTTCCCCCAGAGATTGCCTCCATTTGAAACATTTTCTCAGGGACCTACACTTCAGTTTACTCTTCGTTGGACGGGAGACACAAATGATAAGTCCACAGCTCCTATAGCTAAGCCTCTTGCAACACGAAATTCTGAAAGCCTCCCTCAAGAAAACAAGCCCAATTCTGTTAAACCTACTCAGACTATAGGTGAGCAAACTTTGGCTTCACTGGTGAATAATCATCTGCTTGGCGTGTCTGTACTTCAGGGTTTCTGACTCACTCGTGCAACTGCTTTGGGTAGTCTTAAATATGAAAAAGCAAAAATGAATGAGCGTTGTTGTATTCCACATTTTGTACATTTTTAAGGTAATTTTGAAAGCTAAAAATAGTGGGGTCTTTGAAATCATTGCAATACTGAAGTGGATTATGTACAATGCTCATAAATCCTGATGTGAAATAAATTGGGGGGAAATTTGTGAATAGGACTTCTAGGATTGTCTGTTTTTCTCTATTAATTTTAATTTCTGCTCTAAAAGTATTTGGATGCATAATATTAATAAGTTCCTTTTTTATGCTTTGTAGTGAAAACAGTTTTAAAATTCATCTATGGGATTATATATTTAGCTCTCAGAAAACAGCTGCTACTGTGAAATGTGACAGACTGTCTAAAACTTTGCACGTTTGTGGTGTAAGGGTAACACGGGTTCTTTCAGAACACTTATGAACTGACACAATTAGTAATTACGATTCTGTTAATATGTTTTTAAAACCATGTTTCTTTGTTGTGGAGAGCTTAGCTTAAAAAAGCTACTACTAAAATACTTTTTGACACTAGATAGAAAAGGCATCTTTGACAACTGTCCCCCTCTCCCCCTTTTTCTTTTTTTTGATAGCAGTTTCCTGTCTCAGGGTCACATTTAGTCTGAAATTCCCCTTTTATTCCAAAGTGGCAGTGGGGACTGGCCTGGCTACTTTTCTTTTGTGTCCCTCACGGTTGTTTGGAACTTTGGCTTGGAATATTGTGCTGACAGGTCAGGCCCCAGGACAGCTGGAAAACTTAAATTGTTGAGAAGGCAACAGGCTGCTCCTGTTGTTCAGACACCTGTGAACGTACCTAGAGCCACAACTGGCACCTGATTCACTTCGGAGAGACCAGGGTTTCCAAGCTTGTAACTAGATGGGGACTGTGTGACTAAGGAAAACTTCTAGGTCCTTATTATAGAAGTAATTATCTGGAGTGTAGTGTTTCTGTCTCCAGGCCCAATCTCTGGAGAATGTAGCCAGGCACTGTTTGCAGAGAGTTGCCTTGCTTGGAGTTTTGGGGTTCATCTATGGTAGCGCATCAGAGAATTTGTGCAAAATAGCATTTCAGTTTGGTTTTGTGTTGGATATATAATTATGAGGTTTGTGAGCTGTAGTAGTGATAGCAAGAGAATAATTATTAAGAAAAAAAAAATACTGATTTTCCAAATGTGGTTTTTGTGCTGTTGTATTGCTTTATATGTTGGGAAATTTGATGGGTCAATGATAGCTCATCTCTGGTGAGACTAAGAGTAGCAATTCCTTTCACTACATTTAGGCTTTAGTGTGTAGTAATACTGAAGGTAGAGCAAGAAGAATTTCACCCCTGCCTGTGCAGAACCCACTGTCTAAAACGATCCCAAACATCTTCAGCTAACCTCCAGACAACTTTGTCTGTGGAAAGAGTACAAGAATATTTAAATAAGACTGATTCCTGTCATCTTAGTTGAATATTTCATCTGAATGGCTGACACAAAACACATAAACATGAAGTAATTCCTAATAGAAGGGCAACAGAAGTAGGGAAGTACTTGAACTTTCACGGTAAAAGTTGTTCTGTTTTCTCTTTATTTCCTCATACCAGGCCTCCTTGTATTTTAGAGTTTCTCGGAGATATATATTGTAATTTGTTAGGCAGGTCTTGTGCTCAGACTTGCAAAAGAAATGACGGTCTGTTGACTAACTCTAGAAGGTGTGTACTAGTTTACTACATAATAAATACAGAGGTGTTGGGAGGTGGCAAGGTGCATTGCTAAAGCACTGATAGAACCCATGGCTGCTTGCATCAGAGATGCCAGGTGTTCCAGTAAACTGGTAACGTTACAGCAAGAGCCACCTTCCAAAATAGTTCAGCAGACTCTTAGTACAGGAGTGTATCATAGCACAATGCACAGCATGGTGAGGTATTTATGATGGTCATGGTGTTTTTGGTCTCTGAGTACCAAGGAGGAGAGTGAAAATAGTAGAAAATCTTTATCAGTTAGAGGTTCTCATAGTAAAAGAAAAAAAACCAGTGCATCTTTCCCAAGGGTGTATGAATTTGGTGTTGTCACTTTACTTTGGCACGTTTTCCAAGGCACACCAGTGGAATAAAGACATCAAAGACTTCCTAAATGTGGAGGCTCAACCTTTGCTGTAATTACAAAGTGCTCAAAGTAACCGAGCCATGGAATTCTAATTTCCCTGATGTGGTGCAGGCTGAAGTGTCAGGTCTCCTCCCTTTTTAATACAGCAAGAGGATGAAATTTCCATTGTTCTCCAAAATATTAGATATGAAATACCTAACCCTTCTAAGGATCTCCTTATGTCGGTAGAGCTGAGACTTTTTTTGCCACCTTTCTCAGCATTGAGAAGCAAGTAGATGTCATTATTTGGATTTTCCTGAGGGTAGATTTGTAAACCTGCTTAGGTATGTGGGCTTTCCTGTTAATTGTATGGAATTAAATAATCTTACTGAGATTAAAATGTATGGAAGAGACTGAGAGGTAACTGAGCAGTGCCGTTACACAAAACAGTGAAGGCTAAGAGTTAAGGGTTAAAGTTTCGGTTAAACATTTCGTGTTACTTGCATTTCATACTGTTGTGTGACTTGGGAAACTTGAATTTAAGCAAAGTATTTGCAGTGCAGCCATCTGAAAGCAGTGTTTCTTTTTTATTTCCTGGCCACACCTGCTTTTAGCTAGGCCTAAAGAAGTCTCTGTTTGCTTAAGTGGAGTGAGAAAAATGTTGCTTTTTACCTGACTTTTTAAGTTCTCTGAAGGGTTGCCCAAAACTGGAGATATATCTGGTTTTTAAAAATGGTGGATTTGTCTGCAGATTTGTGAGGGAAGCTGAGCATCAAGACTTCCTTGTTGCTGGTACAAGCTACTTATGTTAAAGTACACTAGAGTAGCCTGTTTCCTTCAGCAGCGATGTGCCCCTCTCAGAACTTCCATACTTGCATTAAGAAATGATGTCTTTTTTTTCCTCTCTTATTAAAGAAATTTATATCTATACATGTTCTTTCAGCTGTGAAAGAATCTTTGCCGACAGACCTTCAAACAAGAAAAGAGAGAGATGTTTTAAATGAACCTCGACAGAAGTTGCGGATATTTTACCAGGTATTGGAAATAAGCATTATAGGGGAAATGGAGAACTGTAAATATTACATGGAACTAAAATGTTCACTTCTCTTCTGAGCTGGGTGGAAACTTATGTTTGCCTTTTCAGTGGATGCCTTAAGGGGTGTCAAATTCACATAGAGGCATTCCACATATTTCTTCTTACAGGAGGTATTTTAGAAAATTAATCTTCTTAGGGGTGTGTCTGACGTTCCAAAATATAAAGGACATCTCTTGTTAGACATCTGGAGGGGAACAGGTGGTCTCCAATGGGGAAAAAGCTCTTGAAATACCAGTGTTTCAGTACGCTGAGCTGATAGTGTTCCCAAGAACCTGCTGTTCCTGTAAAGGTTTCCTGAAATGATTGGGGGTTTGGGAATTTAATGACTGAAATGCATTTCATGCTCATGCTACTCATTCCTTTGTTTGCATCAGTTTCTGTACAACAACAACACGAGACAGCAGACTGAAGCCCGAGACGACTTGCATTGCCCATGGTGCACACTGAACTGTCGGAAGCTGTATAGTTTACTCAAACATCTTAAACTGTGCCACAGCAGATTTATCTTTAATTATGTTGTAAGTAATCTTTTTGTAGTTTAGCACTGCAAAACACTTTACAGTCTGTCATAGATATTGCACATGCAGTGATTCCATCAGTAGCCTGTTAAGTTACAGGACTGTGTCTACGGGTTAAAGGCAGCTTCCTTTGAATGTTAATGTGAATGTTTGCGTGTTACATGGGGGGAAAAAACCTCTGTGGGTTTGATTTATTTTTTGTAAGGTCATATATTTTAAATAATGCTGATCATCGGAGGATGAATTCCGACTGTTGCTGCTGCTTTTGCATTACTATATTCTTTTTATGTGGTGTAGAAAACAAAGGAATCCATGTTTGATTGGAAGTGTCTTGAAACTTTAGGAAATTTAGAAATGTTCTAACTTCTAGGGTACTTGCTAGTAATCTTTTGCTGATATTTTCCTTAATTTTATAGTTCATTTGTAAAATGTTACAGAGTAAGGAAGCTTTAGTATAGTTTGTTTCTGGAGGTTAAAAATTATTTGGGTGTGGTAAAAGGAAAATAGAGCTACGTCAGGCTATTGATAGGGTGATATTTAAGGTATTCAGAATTGAAAAGGTTACTTGTTTAAACCTCCTGGTGTATTGTCATTACTGCTGGCTAAGTATGTTTGCAATTCTGTTTCAGTATCATCCAAAAGGTGCTAGGATAGACGTGTCTATCAATGAGTGCTATGATGGCTCCTATGCAGGGAATCCCCAGGATATCCATCGCCAGCCTGGATTTGCCTTCAGCCGCAATGGACCGGTCAAGAGAACTCCTATCACACACATACTTGTCTGCAGGTGGGGAGATGGGAATCAAGGTCTATCTGTATTTGTGGAGTATAGTGTATGGACTGGATTTGTGACACCTGGGGATTTGTACATCTGTAGGTGCACAGAAACGGTGTTAAATTTCACTGCCATTAAAGTACAGTGGTTTATAGCTAAACAAAGTGTTATTGAATGATGATAACTTCATCTGTAATTTTTCTCCATCTTTTCAGTTGAAGTATCTGTTCATAATGTAACTTAACTGCCTTGTACTAAAACTATTCTTCCCCAAAAGGTGGAGTGTGGGTTGGTGGGGTGTTGGGTTTTTAATGGCGTTTATGTCACTGCTGACTATTTCCTCCTTCCTGCCCCTCTCCCTCCTTTTTGCATGCTAGAGCTTAAAAGAATAATTTATATTAATCGATTACAGTATTTGCGTATTTCATACAATGGTTGAAAGCAATTACTCTTTTTTTTTTTTTTCTTTCCTTCTGCTAGGCCAAAGCGTACGAAAGCCAGTATGTCAGAGTTTCTTGAATCTGAAGATGGAGAAGTGGAACAGCAGCGAACGTACAGCAGCGGGCACAATCGGCTCTATTTCCACAGCGACACGTGTTTACCTCTCCGTCCACAGGAAATGGAAGTAGACAGTGAGGATGAAAAGGACCCTGAATGGCTACGAGAGAAAACCATTACTGTAATTATTCCATTTATACAAAATTATTTTAAATGGATTGTGGTTTTTAAAAGACGGTCTGCAGTTGTTGATAGGGAACAAACAGAGCATATGTTGTGAAAATGATGCATTTACTTTAAGAGTAAGGAGGAACTTGTGATGCTCAGACACTAATGACAGCAATTCATAGAATCAAAGTTTGTGTTTTCAAGTATGTCTTCAGTTGCAAAGCTAGCTCAGGCCACGTGGGTCCTAAAAAATTTTCTCTTTCAGAGAGGAGATGTTTGTATTACAGGAGCACTCAGCGGTGTGTGTATATAATGTGGAAGTAATTTATCATCACATGTCTCCGCATACTACAACTTTTTTCTGACCTTTTTTGACTGCGGCGTCAGGATTTGAGCAGTAGTTATTTCTGTGATATATAGGTGGCATAAGTTGAATTTTAGGTCAGCAGACCTGCAGTTCTGATGTGTTTCTTCTCCTCTCCTTTCTCCCAATCCTTTATCTCTCCAGCAAATTGAAGAATTTTCTGATGTTAACGAAGGAGAGAAAGAAGTGATGAAATTATGGAATCTTCATGTTATGAAGCACGGGTATGTTACCGTAAACTTTGTTTTGATACAAATCAATTATGGTATAGATTTGGTTGACCGTTTGGCATTGCAATTGACTAAGCACTTAAAATTCACTTAGCTCAGTTGTTTAGAAAGGGATCATTAAAGGGTGATTTGGTAACAAGCTTTTGACTCTTTAAGCTTTTAAAAAACTTTTTTTGTGCTTAGTAGCCTAAGGCTTTAAAAGAAAAAGCATTGCCGATGTTGGGACTCTGCAAGAGAAGGTCTGTGCAGTTACGTTGATAAACCCTGTTGTGGGGTATCTTTTTGTTTTCAAAAATGTTCCACTTGCATAATGATGGCTTTCTAATTTGACAGGTTTATTGCTGACAATCAAATGAATCATGCCTGTATGCTGTTTGTTGAAAACTACGGACAAAAAATAATTAAGAAGAACTTGTGTCGAAACTTTATGCTACATCTGGTCAGCATGCATGACTTTAACCTCATCAGCATAATGTCAATAGACAAAGCTGTTGCCAGGCTCCGAGAGATGCAGCAGAAGTTAGAGAAAGGAGAATCTGCCTCCCCAACAGATGAGGAATCTTCTGAGGAACAAAGCGGGACGACAAACGGATATAGTGAAAATAATACGAGAGAGAGAATTTCAGAAATGGATAGCATCTCAGGTGTCACAAAACAGAGCAAGAAACAAAAGCTCTGAAGTCAAAAGTCAAATGCCATTCAACGGACAAGCATTGAAGTGACATTCTAGGGTGCATGAGCTCTATAAAGAATTACACACAAAAATACAGAGATTCCAAACAGGCACTGCTGGATGGAAATAAATGATTTCAACAAGGATATTGTTTTAACAGGGTTTCTATTCAGTTAATTATGCAAGTACTACATGTATATCGGTTTTGGTGATGTAATGACAATATTCTAAGAGTTTGAGCATGAAGAGCAATATGAAAATCTTTTTGTAATTTTAGTAATTAGTGTCTTAAGAACTTTATGGAATTTACATAATTTAAGTATACGTAAAACCGTTTTTATATTAAGATTTTTGCATCTGTATCTGGCTGTTTTTTCCTACCATGAAGTTGTGAAACATTGGGGAAAGGGGATTGGGATACAGTTTCTGCTTTCCTTATTTAGAAATTCTCCAGTTAGCTTTTGTGAAAATAACGTCTCACTACTTAAAAGTTTAACCTTGATCCTTGTATTTGAAATCATTTATCAATTGACCATAAATTAGAAATTAATTTTTTTTTTTTACACTAAAAGCATCAAAGTCGGCAAACTTAGCACTTCCTTTGTCTTGTGCCTGTTTGGAAAGATCTTGGCTTTTCATGTTACAGACACAGTGAAGTTACCACCTTGGCTTTTTGAGGATACCAGCAGTTTGGGTTTTCGTGGATAATTCTGATGTATTGATCACCCAGTGTACCATTTTAAACTTGAACATTTAGCTCCTTTTAGATTTTTATTACACATTTACACAGCTACACAAACGAGTTGATGTCAGCCCTCCTTACGGGGGTTGCGCATCGTGGTGTGCCATGCTAAAGCCGAGAGTCCATAGGATGTAGGCATTACGTCGATTTAACTTCTTCTGAAGTTCATGCCTGCTGTTTTGCCTGAGTACAGACTGCAAGTCCAGGCCATAGGTTTAGCTTTGGCTTTCGAGATGCCACTCTTGAGGGAAAAATGCACTGTAAAATTGGACCAGAAAATGTGTTGCACTTCTTATGCAAGTATTCTGTGATGTATTGTATTCAATACAGATACTAAGATGCTGACTAAACTATATTTGAGCAGTTTTGCACTGCTGTTAACACATTTTATGCATACGTTTACAGATTTTTTCCAATGGAAAGTGGTTTCACTACTGGTACAGTATCAGCACCGAAGGGTTTATTCCAGCAAGCACTGTGGTTGAGTGACATCACCTCAATTTTTTATTATCCTTAAAATATTGCATTTTTCATATTCTTTATTTATAAAGGAACAATGCTGCTGTAAATACAGGTATTTTTAATTTTTTATTTCATTCCATCACCATGAGATGCAGTTCCCTATTTGTTTAAGGGGTATATAAGCTTTCTAATGGTGTCTTCAGAAATTTATAAAATGTAAATACTGATTTTGATGGTCCTTAAGATGTGTTTAACTGTGAGACTATTTAACTAATGGTGTGGATGTGGTTTGTCATCCAGTATTAAGTTCTTAGTCACTGATTTTGTGTACAAAATAGGAAAGAGGGAAACTGCAGCTTTCATTACAAACTTCTTGAATTTGCCAGCTCTCTGAGTTTTAGCAAACTCTAATTACGCCTCTGGATAGTACATCAAGCATTTCTCTCTGGCTTTAATTTGCTAAAGCTGTGCACATATGTAAAAAAATAGATTATTTTAGGGGAGATGTAGTTCTAGAATTATTGCTTATGTCATTTCTTAAGCAGTTATGCTCTTAATGCTTAAAAGAAGGCTAGCATTGTTTGCACAAAAAGTTGGTGATCCCCCAAAAATAGTAATGAAATTACTTCTGTCCAGTAAACTTTGTATGTCATGTCAATTTATAATAAAAGCTGAAAAAAGCCCTTGGTTTTCTATTTATAAAGATGCCTTTTCTATATGTACCTTTGATAGATTTTGAAGAAAACATGTAAGCTGGTTAAAAAGAATTTGAATGGTACAGTAGATGTAAAAATGAAACAAAACCCCAAACAAAAACAAAAAAACCCAAGTTCGGTTGTTTAAATGAACCGTTGTTTTTACATTAAATGTTTTATTTGAAATCTGCTTTTGTACATAAAGTTCAGTAATATAAAATCTGCCATGATGGTTGTCCAGTCATTTTGTGTGCATGCAGAAAGGCCACAAGCAGTACCTTGTATAAACTTTTCTCTTCTGCATGTCCTTTAAAATTTGGATCCGTGTTCTTCCTTTGCCGGATTGTTACAAAGGCAGCTCAGTTTCTGTCCAGTCTTTTTATTATATTTAAGGTGTCTCCATAAGTGACCAGGTTTTTAGCTGGCTTATAAAAGCTTTTATTCTTCTTTCTTGGGGGTAGAACTGAATACCTGAGATCTCTCTGTAAGTTGTGTATTACTGTAATTTATATAACTGAAAATGAAACATCACTTGTGTCATTTAAAAAAAACAAGACTTGTGAGTTTTTACATGCAAGTGGTTAATGTTTCAAACAGATTTTACGAAATACTTAGTTTACTTGGAGCAAAGTTTCAATTGGTATTGTTTTAAAATAGCGCTTCTCTGGGACTGCAGAGGAGGGACCCTGCGGGTACCACAGAACAAACGAGGAAGGAACTGAGTGGCCAAATAGTGACTGTTGAATCACAGACACTGAAAACCTTTTTTTCATGTTAAAAGTAATTCAGATACTGAAATACAGGCTCTGACAGTCAAGATTCTGTGAACTTGACTTCAGGCTGCAGTTGTTGGATATGCTTTTTTGTCTCTAAAGTTGGCAAGGTTCTCCTACTCCAGCCTCTAATATATTCATGGCAGATTTTGATGATGTTTTGTCTTTGAACCCCAAGTTGGAAGCTAACATATGACTTGAATATTTAATTCAGTGCATTAAATACTATATTCAAAATTGTTAGATGCATTTAAGTTGTTAACCTTAAGTGTGCATGGCTTTGACTGTGGTGTGAATGTCACCCTGGAGTTTCGGGGAGTTGGGGTAAAGATTCACTGCCTGCAATGAAGCAGTTGCAAATCACAGAATTGTAGAATCATCTAGGTGATTCAAAAATGATTTGAGCTGGTTTGATTACTTCACTGATCATCAAAACTAAACCACCCAAACCATCCACCCTGACCCAGCAATTTGATGTTACTTTTGAGAATGCAGGAGCCATTCTGTGAGGACAGTTTTTGACAATGTTGTTCCAAATTAAGCATTTCTTAATTCACAGAACAGTTTGGTGCCATCGTCAACCAGTGCTTGAAGGAAGGTGTTCCTGGGGGACCAGCTCCTGGTTATAAACCTGATACTGTGTGGTTTCACAACTGAGAGGAGACCTTTGGATTGAGTAGGTAAGTGCCTTCCCTGCCCCTGGTATCTGCTGTTCTTCAGCTGCTTGATTTGAGACCGAAGGAGGTTCTTCATCCGAATCTTGTATTTATGAGAGAGAGCTGCCCTGGCAGCAACCTTATTTACTGGGTTCAAGAGTAATTTTCCCTTTACAAGAGATGATGGAAACAGATCAGGCTACAGGTAAAGCAGAACTAAGGGAGAATAAACTAAAACTCTGTGTTAGTTCCAACAGGGACCTTGTTTGAAGGGGAAGAAATATCTCTGCTCCTTGCTCAGTAGCTTTTGGCCACCAGAACTTTGTGTAAGAGTTGCAGCATTTAATGCAATTTTAAGGAGCTGGGAACAGTGAAATGGAGACAAGGCAGCTGTAATGGAAAATTGAGGGAAATACTTTACAGATGCTGTAACTAATTTTTAAAAAAGAAGAAAAACTGTTATATCTGTAAGAGATAATAGTTAAGATCTGAACTTCACCAGGAAATAAGGGAACAAGTGAGAAACCTGACACAGAATTGTTTGGGAATTCTGAGGAACAGAAGATGAAAATAATAATAATTTTAAAAAGAGGCAGAAGCTCTTAAAGATGGCTGTAGTGGTAAAGAATACATTTTTATGTTCCTGTTAGAAGAAAGCAGTGATGCCCAGCTTTACGCACCAACACGTAATTCACTAGACCATACACAGTTGAGGGATAAAACTTTATTTAAAAAAAAAATTCAGATTTCACTTGACACACAAGTCTTAGTTGAGGTAAGTGGATGTACTAGCTTAAGAAAATAACTTTCAGGATTGGATTTCAAAAGCAGGTAATTTGCTCACAAAGCTCCAATACTGAGAGGTGAGAAATTGTAAAGGAAGTGTCAAGTTTTCTGTCAAGCTGAACTCTGCTGTGGAAGAACAGAATTTCAACCTTTTTAATTCAAGCCCCTTCTGATCCTTTGCATACTCTGTTACTTAATTACTCGGGGCAAGAGACCTGAGCCTCTTCACCCTCCCAGGTTTAAAAAGTGCAGCTCTCGAGGCGGCTGAACAGTACCTAACCTGCCATCTGCACAGCTGGGCTTATGCTAAGCTTAAAAAAAAATACCAAAACACCAAACCAACACAATAAAAGACCAAAAAACCAACCCACCATTGGCAAGCTGCCCTTGTTCAATGCACAGCTACAGACTGAAGTCAGAACAAAACCTGTTTCTGCCACCCTCAGCTCTCCAGGGGAGCGGAGCAGCAGGGGCCTCCGCAGCCCTTCACACTCACCCCAAGCTGCTCGGTGTGAGTATTTGGGACAAACCCATGGGGCATCACCATCTCTGGAAGTACCTGGATTCAAGGCTTAAGCTTTATTTCCTAACAGGTAAGCAAATGTCCTGCAGATTCAATAGTCTGACAAGTCCCCTCCAAAAGCAGATGAGAAGGTACCTGACCCATCGGTACCTCACAAGTGTCGATATTCACAATTTTAGTTTCCATATGGTAAAAGTACTAAGTTACAAGTAGTACCTCACACCTGAAGTGTGTAAAATTACCAGCACTACGACGTGGAGCAAGAGGCAGCCTCGCCCTCTCTGAGCAGGGCTGGGGCTGCTCCATCATCTCCTGAGCTTTCTTGCCTAAATGAAAAGAACCATATTTAAGAAGTATTGAAAATACTTTTCACAGAAGCATTCAAAGGAACACTGAAAGAACAGGATAAGCTCGTATTCTCTTACAGTGAAATAGCTGAGCTTGAAAAACTGAGAATCCCACAGACTTTTTGTTGCTAACACTGGATAACCTTACCCACAGGTGTCCTGTCTTCCTTGCTTCATGTCTCACAGTAAATCCCAACCCAGCTCTACCCTCTGCAGTTCTTCTTCATCTGACTCTACTCGCTTTTTTATTTTCTTGTAAATGGTGTAAATATCACCCACCATTCTCCTCCTCCTCCAGATGCTTGGGGAAAAATTGTACAGAGGATGACTAATCTTTTTTGTTCTGGAAACATGAGTATGGGGGATATTAATCTAATGTAAATTACACTTTTCATGCCAGCACAGGGGGCTGATGGAGCATGTTGACACTGAAGCAAAAAGGGAAGAATGATTGTCTAGGTCTTATAAAAATATTGATTATTCTAATATGCTAAAATATATTTAATTTTAATTGAACTTGAGGTAAGAAGGTCCCTTCTAAGGCCCTCAGTGAGCATTACTTCAAAATATTCTTTAAATTCAGTAGTACTGCAATCTTTTAGCCAGGAATAGGCTCTGTTTGATAAGCTCATTCTGAATTTTAGTTGCTCCTTAGGGGAAATAGTAACTTTTTAATTCAAAGTCAATTGATTCATAATCAATTACCACCATCTGCTCCATTTTGACTATCACAGGGGCTCTGGCCACCGCTGGTGTCTCTCAAGGTGGGTCCCCAGCAGTGGTCCCCGCTTGCCTGGGTGGCCTCGATTTCCAATAATCCCACCCATCAGAACAGCCCTTCCCTTCTCTCTGCTGGAGAACAGAAAGAAGGTTGTCTTGGCCTTAGAGGGGCCTCTGCACCTCAGCCCTAAGCACAACAGGACCAGGACTTGCTCTGACATTGGGAACAGGGTAAGCTGTAACTGGGGAGGACATCTGGAGCAGATCAGGGTCACTGGGGCTTGCTCTGGTCTGAGACGAGCATCCACATGAAGCTGATGGACACATCACCACGCGACTACTCTAGGAAATATATTCCTGGTGACAACACAGGAAACTATCTGGAAATAAGGCACTTAGGTGAGACGTTAACAGACTGGCTACACACTCAAACAGACGTTCTGGCTCAGACATCCTTGCTCTGGAGGAATGAACAGTACCGTGCGTGGAAGAAATGGCCGTTGCGTGCAGACCCCACTCTCCATTCATACTATTAAGGCAGCATTGTGTACAAGGAAGCATAGCAGGACATCACTGCTCTAAATACTTTGCTCATTTTGAGTGGTATAAATAAAACTTTGGTCCATTACCATTCCTCTACCCCCACTAAATGTTTTCAGGCTTATTTCACAGAACAGCAGCATTAAGCAAAGTTAATTCTACACAACACACGTACCCTGAGACTAGAGTACAATGAAATACTGACAAAAATCAAGTCTGAAGGAAAAAAGGGAAAGGTCTTACGGACTGCTTAAGTTAATTTGCCTACGCAAGTGCCTGTTTCTAACTTTTTCCAGAGTAACAAATCCAATGTTTCACAATTATGTTTTGAAATGAATCCAGTAGGAAGTACAATATAGTGGAGTTCAAGTAGTATAAAGACAGGTTTTTGTTAACAGATTGTTGATGTCAAACAGCTGGAAAACCAGGTTTGACATTACACTTTATAGCAAGAACAAAAGTCCCTTCACTCACTGCTAAAACACCAAGACTTTCCAGCCTGGGTATGAAAACGAACATCCAAAATACAAAGAGCCACAGCACTGATCGAGTACCCAGTCAAAGACCACTTCTCTGTTGTTAGAGCTAATGGTGACTCTAAGCTTGAAGTTTCCTCCCTCGTTGCTGGAAGGCCCTAAATGCACAACTTCCATGTCAAACGTCACAGTCGAGCCAGAAGTTACAGCAGGCAGCTGGTTTGTCATCTCTTTTCCATTTACAAATACTGCCCCTGAAACAGTCAAGGTAACAAAGGTTATTTCTCACTTTCTGTACACACTGACATGCAATAATATGTTCTGCCTATTATTTTTTTTTTTTTTACAGGCAAACGGAAATGGAAAGCAACCCTGCCACGTTCCTTTTTGTCACATCACACAGGTTACAGGAACTGCAAGCAGAAAAAGGCGACCTGTGATCTCACCAAAGCTTTTTACTGCATAAACAGTGGTACGTAAAAGGGGGATGAAATTGCTCATACATCATCCAGGGATATAAAAAAAAACAACAACTAGGGGCTATGGATTTTGAGAAAGGCAAAAAAAAAAAAAAAAAAAA